TCCGTAAAAGTCTTAACCTCCTATATAAAAAGCGAGCACATGCGTATTTGTTTACTTTTACGGAGGTCGGAGTGCCGACAAGTTACTTTTATGGAGATTCGACTATATAATATAAAATATAAAATACATATTGATTAAAGTTCTTTTTCTATTTTTTTTATTTTTTTCTATTATACACAAATAGTATTTCAAATTATATTCATAATAATAAAGAAATTATTTCTAATAATACATAGCGTTGCAACATTGCTACGACATTATAGCGCAATCTTACTAAAGATGGACATTTTTATGACATTGCAACAATATTGCAAATACATTGCGCAATCTATTTGCAATATTATAATACTGCAATATTACAATAAATTATATCTGCAATCATAGTTACATCTTGCAATCTTTCTGTGCTGTATCGGTCATATACAAGGGCGTTTGGAATTTAAATGTCAAAATTTTGGGAGCGTGTAGGGGATCGATAAAGAAAGAAAGTCCTGTAGAGATATGCTCGTTTTTGTTTCGTTCTCGCACTGTCTCTAAAGTTATCCTTGTGAAATCGTGCACGAAAATGATAATAATAATTCCGTTTTCAAGTGCAAACTTTTTGGTTTTTTTACATTTCTTCTTTTGTTTTATAAAATCATCAGTTACTTGTTAGAAGTCATCGAGTAAATTACTCGAATTAAATAATTTCATATGATTTGAAAGAGAAAGTAAGAATTAACACGAGTGTAACAAAAAAATAAAGAAATTGAATAATAAAAAGAGAAGAGAAAAACAGCTGGATATTTTGTAATGCAACTTATCACTGAGAACCTAGTTTAAGTATCTCATCTCAACTTGATATTGTATTAGATTTCCTTTGAGTATTAATATAATCATTTTTATTAAATTAATTTGCTGTCATGTCTAGAGTTGTAACAGTATTAACCTTCCCTGAACTAGGTAGAAAATCAACATAGACCATATGCGTATATCTCATATTCCATGCTATATTTCATTTTAAATATACTATAATTTAGTATAATTAATAACAATGCATTCTCCAGTTTCTCAGAATACGAGAATACGATATCTTTTAAAAAATTATTGAAATTCATCTTGGAATGTATCACTCCACCAACCTTTCGCGGAGGGTTAAAAGAAATTGAAAGTTCTTCAATCGATGGAAACATGGATACATATATGTACATGGATGTATGTACATTGTTGAATATCAAATCAGTAATTGTAATTCATTTTAGCAATAATTAAATGCTTAACTGTTAGAAATAAATCTTTTTAATGTTGTCACATCTTCTATTTTCTTCATGTTCCAATTGCTCGATACTTCGCCAACTTCACCAAACACACACACAGAGAGAGAGAGAGAGAGAGAGGGGGGGGGAGAGAGAGAGAGAGAGAGAGGAGAGAGATGGAGGAGGAGGAAAAAGAGAGAGGGGGAAGAGAGAGATCGCGATTTACTAGCAACATATTATAATAACTGTTTACGTTAACCGAAAAAATATTTTTAACATAAACATCTCTTTGATAAAGAAAAAATAATCACAATTAATAAAGATGATGAAAAAGTATTTCTATTAGATTTCTTTTCTTATATTTCTATTCTTATATTATTTTTCGACAAAACTTCTTTAATTAACTTTTTCGCAAATTAATTAAATGCAAATTAATTTTTTTCTTTTTTTTCTGAATATTTCTAAATATTGCACTTTTAATTTATCAATTTTCATTCGCCTATTCATTCTTCTTTGTTATTCTTTGGCGTATCAATTGAAAAAAAATTGTTCAAATTCTACGCATTACATGTAAAGATGTATGCGATTGAAAACATTGAGGTAACACACACCCATGTGCTCCAAAATCTCGAATTAAATATAGTGCGTTAGTTGAGAGTTAATAGATATAAAATTTTTTCGTTTTGTAAATGACCTGAAAAAGCTTTTAGTCATTTTTTAATGATTTATATTATCTGGATATTATTATTATTATTAATATAATAATAAATAGAGAGTTGACAATATAAGTCAACTAAAAGTCGGACATAAAAAAATAGCTTTTAAATTTTCAAAAATGGTCGATCTGAAGTCGACATTCAAAATCGACAAAAAGCCATCCTAGAAATTAGAATAGTCGACTAAATGTCGATCTTACAAGTCGAAATTAGAATAGTCGACTATAAGTTGACTAAAAATTGTGAAATAATGTTATATAAAACTGTTACAATATAAACATATAAACATATACAGTTTTTCATTTGAGTTTTGATTTATTTTATGTATATGTTAATGGATAATATAATTAATTTGGGATTTATACATATCGGTTGACATTATAGATAATACACGCTTTATCAAAGCATTTATAAAATTGTAAAATTTGATTAGATCTTTCAGTAAAATATTTTTGCATTGTTTTTACTTAAGTATACTTAATTACAGAATTGGGAAGTAATGTATTACTTGTAACGCCACTTTGATCGATCGTTACCTCCAATTTTTATTAGATGGTTTAGATTAGATATTTTTTTAGATTAGATATTGCTAGCGCTGAAAGATGTTTCGGTTTAATAAGCCTGTTCGCGTTGCATGAAATCTCGAAATATTTTTGCACTTAAAATGAGATATATAGATATATATTTGGCTTTGAAAAGAGAGAAAGCGAAGATGCCGAGTGCCAAAAGTGCAAGCAATGCGAACAGACCTAATATCTTTAGAAATACTTCTATGTAATTATTAAATAGCATGTTCGGATTCTCATCCAGATGCTCCTTAAATGTCGGTCATCCTTGTTTAACGTTTGGTAAACTAACGTTCGGTACAAGAATGGAGTAATACTTGATAATCGAGTGAAAATCTGAACCCAGCAAAAGTTGTGTTATTATAATAAATGAGCGAAATATTTAAATTTTTTTTAATGAATTATGATATATATTTTCCAAGTATGCAAATATGTATTTATAATTTAACATTGCAGTAGTAAAAGGTTATTATATATGCAATAAATGTAACTATAAAATTATTTTATTATTTTATTTTCTCATTTTTTTTATTTCTTAAAAAATTTACAATATTTTTTTTAATTGATATTTTATATTTTATATCTTAGGCTACATTCCGATAGTCCACTATCAGTATTGAAAAACTATAATTTACATTAACAAATATACTATGGATTTTCAGTACCGAAGTGAATCTTAAATACATTCCAGACTAATATTATATTTGTCGTATGATCATACATTTCAAGTTTTGATTGATTACAAGAAAGAAAAGTTGTCGGATCTGTTTATCCTGTGGAAAATCAATAAACTTAAAATCCTTATCGTATGACAAATGTAATATCAGCTTAAGGACCACCGCACAAACATTGTCGTAATGCCTTATGTCATCTTATATCATCCGTAAAACATAAATAACGTACAGAAAAGAACATAGCATAAGAAGTGGTAAAGAGCTTGTGCTATGTTTTTCTTTGTATGTTACTTATACTTATGCTTAGAGAGGACTATATGTAAAGTAACGCAAGGCTCTCATATAAAATGGCACAAGCCGCTACGACACTACGGCAATATTCGTGCGATTCATACTATGGCCCTAAGACCTCAGCATAGACTTTTGACGCATAATGCACAGTGCATAAGAGAATCAATCAGAAACTTTTTCTTGTGAAATAGAAGGAAAGGAAAGATATTGATTAATTCTCTTATGCACTATGTGCGTTATACAAAAATCTGTGTTGCGGCTTTTAATAATAACACAGTGTTTAAAAAAATAATATTAAATTTAAATTAAAAAATAAAAATTGTTGAGTTAACTCTCTCACGTGCAATGTTGATAAAATTAGACTTATTCGACGTGTTTTTGCACAAAACGATCGAAACAGGCAGAAAACAATTGCCGCTCTGCCTTATAAAACGAGATATTAATCATTTAATTTAACGACTATTTAGGTTAGGAAACCTGTTATACTAGTGAAAAGCAGTGATACGAGCATAATGTGTTGTTTGATAGAATTTGGCATAAAGTTCTTTCAAATATTCCAAGATATGATACAAAAATATTGGCTGAATTTGTTTAAAAAAAGGAGTTAATTTTAATGAACAATTATATAATGTTTTAAAAGTGATTGCGGTAAATTAAATCTTGCAACATCAATAAATGTCTCAAAATAAAATATATTTTCTGCTTTATCTCATTAAAAGCACAAATTTTCTTATATAATTTAAATTATAGCAAAGAATATTTTATGATTCAAAATATATGTCTACACATATTCTCTTCGATTAATTAAAAATAAAAATTTTCTTATCTTAAGTTGTAAAGAATGTGACCACAGCACATGCTCAGTATGACAGGTTTCTTAACCTGAGTAATCGTCAAATTTAAAAATTATAATCTCGTTTCGCGGAACAGGGCGGCATTATTTTTATCAGATTCCGTCGTTTTGTGTAAAAATACATCGAATAACCTAATTTTATTAATATCAAATATGAGAGGGCTAAACTCAACAAATTCCACAGTAACGAAAAACTAACGATTAATCGTTACTTTTTAAATTAAATAACTAGTAACGGTAATGCGTTACTTTTTAAAATAATTTTTAAAATAAATAACTAGTAATGATAACGAGTTATTTTAACAAAAAGCAGCTGTAACGGTAAGGCGTTATTTTTTTCAGGTAATGTTCTCAGCTCTGCTTAATTTTACAAGTGTTTATTCGTAATACATAAACACATATGTATATATGTATATACATACATATATTATACATCTGTTTATTAAATCAAAATGGCTATATTAAAAATGCTGAAGCGTACCCTGTGTAGAAACATTGCAACAAGCGGATCGAGATTCGTGGGCATCATAGGACCCTTAACAATTCCACCACTACAGATTGCAATTTTATATTATTTCTGGCAGGATTATTCGAGGGTTGTGGACAAGCGGTACTGTTCCTGCTCGTGTTGGGACACTGTCTTTAAAGGTAACACTAAAATATTCTAGAAATATATTTTTATGCCTGTTTCCACCAAAGTAGATTAATTTTAATCTCAATTCAATTTACTCTCTATTTTAATCTCTTTTTTAATTTTCAGAACTAATTAAAACTAATTAGAACTTTTTATAATTTTTTTAATTCTTAAAAAAAGAAAAGTAAATTAAATCAAGAGATTTTCTCCTACATAACATATTTTATCCAAGATACATCCTTAGGATGTTCAGAGAATATAAGAATATCTTTTTGGATGTTCTTTGAAGATCTATGGGCTAATTCTAATTCTTAGAACTAAAAAAAAATAAAGAATAAATTGAATCAAGATTAAAATTAAAATAATTAAAATTAATTTATATTAGTCGAAACGGGCATGAAACTACTAAATAGCAAATCGCAGATCCAACTATAGAAATCAAAATTTTTTTACAGGTTCATACGAATCCGGCATCGCTCCTTACAAACACATGTACTTTAATGCTACTTCAAATATGTTGAAAATATGGATACTCATTGTCATTGGAGTAATTGTGTTTTACGAAACAATGAAACATTTGGCGAAACTGGCTATCAAACAGAGACTAAGACAATCTATGATGCTCCTCTTTTCAACTTCTCTGTTCTCCAATTATTACTCATGGTGGGTCTATATTAATTATTGGAACGACGACTTCTACTCTCAGTGGTATCACCAGTTGTTTTTTACAATTACTGAATTAATATCTACGGCTTGGGTTGTCTCCCTTGCGGATAAGAAAAATCCAATCACACACAGAAAGGCTTTCGGCATTGCTGCGATAGCCTTTTTACATATTGTGGCTGGTGGGTGGGATCAGTTCTTTGAAAATGTCGTTAGAGGAGAGGGTCACGCACACCAGGTAAGAATTCACAAATAATAATGAAATAAATTAGTTGCTCACACTACATTGGATTAAAATTACTTTATATAAAGTTTCTAAAAACAGTGATATAATATACATAACTTTTATAATGAAATAATATATATATATATATATATACTCTATTACTCTAGAATTATGTTGTAACTCTAGCATTATATTGATGCATAAATTTTACTTATTGAGCATTAAGCTGTATTCTTTCAATAATTACAACTTGAATCTGTTACATTAAAAGCAAGGACAGATTATTAAAAATTTCTATTACTTATATACATTAATTAAGAGTTTATTTTCTTACATAAAATTTACATATCAGTAGATATTATATCATTGAACTTAGACATATTGTTAATAGTTTAAAATATTTATTACAGGTCATACGCGATTTGGGTTTCATGATACCGGATATTCTCCAAGTCATCATTCCATTATGGCTGATTAAACGGGAAAGTATTTATAATATCCATCTTCCTAACTCATTAGCGTATATGTCAAGTATTGTGATGATCGGATTGTGCATTTGGTCATTTCTGTTGTAACGATATCATTAAGGATAACATAATAATGCGTAATAGGCAGCAACAAAATGATTGAAAAATCAACAATATTGTCATGTCTCTAGAGCTCTACTACTTTTGGTCCTCTCAGTATGAGTACAGTTGACCTAAGGAAAATCAATACGGGTTGATAGACTGAGTTTCGCTCGAGCTAGTATTACGTTTCCGCTGAGGCTCTGTATTTTCCTGCACAATAGAGTTATGATGAAATCACACGATGCTCAATTTCTTGAATGATAAGCATGTATATATACTTATTATTCAAGAAATTGAGCACCGTGCACTGAAAGAAAAGATTGGCTAAATATAGCATTTTTAATTGGTTGCAACAGCCAAATTTTGGTTGCGTTACGCAGCCAAGTTTGAGTTGCATTAGCTTATCGAAATCCTAACATTGCAGATAGGCTAAATCAAAAATTGGCTGTTACAACAAAAAATTGACTGTTGCAGACAATTAAAAAAGCTAAACCATATTTTACCATCTAATTTAATTATTGCAGCAGTCAATCTTTTTTTTCAGTGTGTGATTCTATTTTTACCGTTATGTCTTTCCTATAGGAACAGTATTTTTTTATGGCAGCGCGAGTGGAAGTGAACGATTTTCACGAAACACATGGGAGTTACTGAAATGATTGCAAGGGTAAATATTGAAATGAAGGGAAGGGAACATCGCTGTTGCTTCGGGGCATACGACTTTCCATACAAAGCACCGTCCATACAAAGCACCGTCCATACAAAGCAATTTTCCACGCGAACGACTTTCACTCCATCTCCCTCTATGACAAGATGCGTATGACCATGCGTGCTTTTCATGAAAAGTCGCACATACCTTGTCAGAAGAGAAGATAAGGTGAAAGTCGCTCGCGTGGAAAGTTATATTCCTTGAATTCGTCCTCCTCATACCTTTCTGCTTGTTTAAAGTTATTTAATTCTTCATGTAAAGCAGGAAAATAATTATTAGCTTTAATTGTTAATAATTTTTTAACAAATAACGAGCGATGGCTAAAACCTGAGAGATAGGATTGAGGTTGCTTCGCACGGAAAGTCATGCGCCTCTATACGGAGAAAATTGCGCAACGATGATTGCTATTCGGACAGCGATGACTAACGCGTGCGTAATAACTGTTACTGTGAAGTGAAAATTTTTTCTCGGCATAGTAATTATCGCTGCGCAGTTCTCCGTGCACTACTGTATAAAAATAAAAATTATATAAGAAAATAACATTTTCAAAAAAAATTTTTGTTTTTAAAACAGGAAATTTATTTTAAAGCAGAAAATTTTTGTTCTATCTTCCATCTCAATATTTATCCTTGCAAATTCCGGTACGAGAAAGTTTCACAAGAACAATTATATATTTTCACTCATTTTCTTATCATCTTGAAGATATAATATTTAACATAATATTTAAAATTTTCTAGTTCAGTTAATGTTACAATTGGTATAGTGCAATAATATATACATATTAACAAAACTTAACTTAAATATCTTTTAAAATTATATGTATGTAGTATTTTTCCAACCAGATGACCAACAAAAAAAAGGAACAAAAATTGTTTTTTCTCTATTTGTTGTCATTAGATCCGGATCGCGATGTTGTTTATTCTCACTTCAAGCGCTAGCATTGCTTCTTGCGGCGCTTAGATTGGGAATAAACAGCACCGCGATCCGGACTCTAATCATTATATATTCTGAAATTGTTTTCGCGCTGAAACATGATCGGTTATTTGATTGCATAACACATCGGAATTTTTATTACATAAAAGTAAAATAGGTCTACTGTATGTTACATTTCAATAAAAATCTTGTTACATTCCAATATACGAGACTTTGTCTCAACGGCCTCGTATTCAATGGAAAAAATTTCAAAGAATATACTGTGACACTTCGAAGAGAAAGAAATGACTTTGTAAAACACATATCATAATAACAATATAGAATTGTTCACACTTTCTAATTAATTCAATTATTGAGATATTTATCTTATGATAAATTTATAATGACTGCAGCATATATTTGAAAAAGGAAGATAGAAATTTTTAGAAACACATAAAAAAACGAAATGTATTACGATGTGTAGAGTAAATCGATCGTAAAACGATCGAACATAAATTTTTAATTCCCATAATATTTTGTTATCGAACGCAACGAAGAATAAATATATATAATAATTATAAATAGTCTGACGATTTCAGAAGAGGTATTTCGATATGATTAATAACGTGAATAAAATAAAGTGGCCTAATTTTTTTGATAATTGTTTAATTATTTCCGACATTCCGATTACATTTTCCACACACACACACACACACACACACACACACACACACACACACACACACACACACACACACACACACACACTCACTCACTCACTCACTCACTCACACACTCACACACATGCGCGCACACACACACTCACTCACTCACTCACTCACACACTCACACACATGCGCGCACACAGGGAAATGTAAAAAATCAATTTTTTATATTACAATAATTGAGAAGGTAATCATTTTAAAGATATCACAAATTGAAAATTAATAATTAATTTCTTTTTCGCTCGTGTAATTTACAAATAATTAAATATAGAAACAAATAAAAACGAATTATATTCAGATGTACATAATGTGGTAATATTTATTTTATTCATTTATATATATATAAATTTCACGGAAAATGTACATGCATATGTTTTATACATTTCACCTTCATAATTATTCCGTTCAATCTATTAATATTTGTGGACTCTGCATTTACAACTATTTTATATAACTTTGAAATTACGCTTTAACAATACTTTCGACTGGGATTTTTTCTTTATTTTTAAATGCTTTGATTGCCCTTTCTCATCATTAATCGAAGAATTGATAGGATTTATGACATTATTATACAATTATTTTACAATTTGATTTAATATAATATAGTTGTTCTTGATGCATTTATTTATAAGTAAAAATAAGATGATCCTCATGATATGATATATTGAATATTTGATCGTTAATTTTTATTATGTATTAGTATAATTTATGTTTTATGTAATTAATATGTAATTAGTATAATTTCATTATACGGGATTATAATTTATATTCATGATTGAGGAGGACTAATTATAAGTCAAGTCGAAAACGTTCCGTGAAATTTATATGATTGAATATAATAAATTTTAGCACATTGTACATCTGAATATAGCTCGTTTTAATTAGTTTCTATATTTGATTGTAATTATTTATATTACCTATATATTTATTTAATTATTATTATTATATATTTATTTACATTTTTAAATTATCATTTATTTTTAAGTAAATATTATTATAGATTTATTTACATTTAAGTATTATTTACTTTTAAGTAATTATTATTATATATTTATTTACATTTTAAAATTATTATTTATTTTTAATATATTAATAAGAATTTTTTACATTTCCTTCCAGACGGAAGAGATCACATCTTCTCACGGTTTTCAATGAACAACAATGTGTATTATTTAAATAAATATGACTAAAATAAAAGTATTTTTAATTAATATATTTTTTAAATTAAAAATGTACATATTGGCCAAAAGCGGATCTTGTATTTCTCGGATTTCATATTTATGAATTTTAATTTTATATATTTACATACTCTTTCGTAAAAGTGTATCATAATATTAATTCATTTTACTATTTAATATTAATATTTAAAAATATAGGGAAGTGTATAGAGAAAGAGAGAGAGAGAGAGAGAGAGAGAAAGAGAGAGAAAGAGAGAGAAAGAGATTTTGATAATAACATCTTGACAAGTCGAGATTGTTAAGAATATGCGAAAACGCAAAAGCATTCACCATGGGTTATGTAATGCATTTGTAATTGTCAGTTAATCGATATGCTAAAAGTAAATAAAGCGGATCTGATAAAGTGGAGCTGATGGACATATCATGCGCGAATTCTGATGTTTTTCTCTTTTTTTTCTTAATATATTTTTCTTACGTAAATAGTTAATTAATTATCAGTATAAGGCACCGACGAGATACATCCTCACATAATTATTACAATTATTCGTATATACTTTAAAACTAATAACTGTAAGAGAAATAATGATTTGACATGTATAGTATGCGTTCGACTTGTCTTAATCGATGAAATTACTATCGTTAAATGTAAATGAAAGTTTTCCTTTAAAAAAATCCGAATAAAACATATTTTTGTAATAATGTTGTATTTGTCAAATACCCTTAGTGTTGATCAATATTTTGTTTAAAATGTTTTTTTTATTATCTGCATTTAAAATAAACAAAATGTCGAAAGCGAGATTATTAATAGAGACAATAAAGATGATGCCAATATAATTTTATAATATATAAATAAAAGGCTTTATATATTGTGCAATTTTTAAATAATTTTTATTTGCTTATGTTCCGTGGATCTACATAACTATAAATACCTAAGTGTTTCAACAGGTTGTTTAAATAAAAATATTAATAAAAATTTATTATTAAAAAAATTTCATATTATTCTGTTATGATCTTGATATAAAAATGTATAAAGAGATTTATTGATATGATATTTATTATATAAGGCGACAGTGAAAATTTTGTGCCTCATTCCCATCACGTTGAACCTGCGTTGACCCACATTCACGCATGATAAATCGATAAAGTTGGCGCTTCCTGTCTGCAAGAAGCATGGGGACATTCTAAATAACACATAACTTTTAATAAACTGTAGCAATTATATATTTCTCCTATTAATCCAGAATAATAGAAATTAAAACGCGAGAGTTTACGAGATATTAATTATTTATGATTTTCTATGTGTGTTATACCGTATTTATAACCTTGACTTGGAAAAAATAAGCGTGGTCGAGCACGTAAGGTATGAAATCAGAAAGCTGGAAATATCAAATTTTTTTTTTCATAGTATTTTTTTCTGAAAGAAATAAGTAATCAAGTTAGTAATAAACTTATATTAAGTCAAATATATTTTCTTATATCTCTATAATCTTTTCGTGTGTATAGTTTTCAAGTAACAACTGTAGAGAAAAACCGATTTGTTTTTCAATATCCGGTAAAAAATT